GTGGATTCGATCCCCCGACTTTAAAAAAGAAAGTTTCTACGGTGTAAAAATCAGCGCACATATCAACTGAGCTAGACTGTCTATAAGAATGAATGATATAAATCTGAAGCATACGAGTATTATCAAAATCAGGTTTACTCATTTTTTGTAGTTTTTTTTTTTTTTTTTGTAAATTTCGACCCTAGGGCAAGGGTGCCCTTAAAAAATCCTATCTTAAATTATTACTTATATCCTAACCTATCAAAATAACATAATTTTATTTAGCTATAGGGGCATGCCTGCCCTGAAGGACTTCTAGGCCAAAAAACATGCCAAAATCAACGCTTTGGTGTTTTGGGCAAAATTTGGAGGTTTACTGAAAAGTTGTAAATAATAAATTTTAGGTCTAAAATACAAATTTGAAAAACTTAGACATATATATGTTAGAAAACTACAAATAAAGATTGATAACTAACTGTCACTTTTTCCGGGAAATTGTTCTCTCTCATAGGTCAATTATTTTGTCAGAGTGAATACATCTCTTTTATGCCGCCCCGAAAGAAGTCGGGGGCGATATATTGCTATTGTACGCATGTTTTTGTTATACGGGATGTTCGTCATGAAACGTTGTCAATTTAATGATTAGTACATGTATCTGAAATTGTGCTCCTTGCATTTAAAAATTGCTAATTGTCAACAGCTGTCGCCATGGAAATAGGGGAAAAGGGAAAATTCTTTTACTTTGTTTTTTAAATCAAAGTACAGAAAGTATGATACGAGTTGATGTTTGTCCAAGCTTATATAGCTAATGGGTATTGTTTTAGTGATGAAAAAATGAAAGTCTTTTAAAGTTCGGGCGACCTACGCTATTGCTTGCAATAGCAGACTTTCTAGTTTTTCTTATTATTTTGAAAACAATATAAGATAATTCTTGCGTTTTTCTGTTTTTCAGGCCCGTGGGAAGCAATTTCATATAAAGGGGGATCATTGGGCTAAAAAAAACCTTCCCCCAAAGAGACTTAACTGTTCAGGGGACATAACAATTATTGATTTCTTTTTTAAGTATTTACAAAATTATTAAGGGGATACAATTGGAAATTGCTTTTATTTAATTGGAATAACATATACTGGCATGCACTCACTGTGTACGGACCTGGTCCAAGGCCATAAAACTTAGATAAACCCATTTTCGATCTCAGTTTCCCTTTTCTATATTGTACTTATTCCTTCCGTAGAAGTGAGACTGTGATTTAACGTGAGCTTGTCTAAGTTTATTGCTATGGCGCATTATGTTTCAAATATGATAAATATAACCTCCATTTTTGATTGCCATCCTATATGGTACACACATATCAATTGGGTTAGTTGACCACAGATATTGCAAATACAAATTTTTTGATATTTCTCAATTAACATTCATTTTACTCAATTTTTTTTTTTTTTGGGGGGGGGGGGCAAAAATTATTGGGGCGGCGACTGCCGCCTGCAGCTGCCCCTTTGCCGACGCCCCTGAATTAAGTATCTTTAAACTGATATTGTCATCACATTAATTTTTTAAAGTCGAACTGAGAATTGTCTCATATCAATGACTCTCAATGCCGAAGTAAACGCAAGGGTGATAAGGAAGCATACAGAATATTCTACCTTGACTAAGTCAGTGCTACATTACTGACGTCATAGTGTGTGAGATGACGTCAATTTTAGAACACAGGTTATCGTAATATTGGTATTTAGATATTTAATTTAACACTAGGAAATAAATTGAAACGTGTAAAGATTCACAAAAATAAGATGTTTTTATTCTATTGTTCCGTATCTGTCAATTTGATTAAAATCTAACAATGATGACGTCATAAGTGTGCATCGAGTAACTTGGGAATTGATCATGTCGTGTTAAGAGAATTTGGCTACGACAGCATGTCCAAAGATACGTAAAATGGAGTTTAGAAGCAAATATCGGGAATATTATGTGAAATTCATATGGAGTTCGGTTAAATAAACAGGTATGGTAATTTATTTTCATCAATAATATTCTCTGTCGAAGACATTTAGCTATATCCGTATCCCAGTCTGCCTTTCCTTGGTCATTCGTGACAAAAATAATGCCGTAGAACAACAATAAGCTGGATATTTCAAAACATAAGATTTGTACATATGAAAAGTTCGCCTTCTAAGATACTTGGAAAGTGCTGCTAGAATCCCGAGTTAAGCATGGTTTCACGAAAATTCTGGGTTCATATGTGTAAAATACAAAACATAGGGTAAGGTTTCGTGCAGATGTGTGTTATAATTATTTTACTGACCGGACAGTGGGATTCTAGCAGCATCTTTAAGGCAAAATAGATGTTTTTCGACTATATTATTTACTCAAAGAAGTTATTAAACTCCGGGGTATTGTTGTTCTGTTAGCTTTTTTATTAAGGAACATCTAGCTATTAATAGAAGTCAAGTGATGCCGTGGTGGTGGCGCATGTCATTGCGTTAGACGTTCTTTTATCTTTATGCAATAGTTAATAAAAATTTATGTTTATCAGTGATTTTGGTAAATTATCAAACTTAATTTTCTTTAAAAAGTCTAATTTCCCTAGAAATGATTTATATGCTTCCTTAACATACCTACGAAGAAGGGAGCGAAAGGTTGGATTCCAAATATTTTGCGTGAAGAATAATCTTTTGAAACTGTTTTATAGTGAAATTTATTTATAGGCTGCGTCTGCCTGACAATATTTTTAAAGCTATTGATAAAAGAATTGTTGCTGTATGATTTTTTTGTGATCTCTCAAAAGCATTTGATCGTGTTTGGCACAAAGGTATCTTCTTTATGCTTACAACATATGAGATAACTGGTAGTTTGTATCAATGGCTTGAGAATTATCTGAAATGTAGGTACCAAAGGGTGATGCTTACATGCTGGTGTTCCCCAGGGCTCAGTTTTAGGACCACTTTTGTTCTTAATTTATGTTAATGATGTTGCTGATAATATGATTACTTTTTGTAGGTTATTTGCTTTCAAAAACGATGCTACGTGCCTGAAATAGTCTTTCAAAAGGCGAAAATTTAAAACTATAAAAGTGTGGCATGCACCAGGGGGATTCCATACCTCGATTGTAAATAATCAAAGCGTACTTTAACAGAGCTATTAATTCTCTTTATTTATTTTTATTTATTTATTTTTTGTGGTTTTCGACTCAAGGGCAGGGATGCCATTTAAAAAGTCTTATTTCAAGGTACATTTATTTCTGCTTTAGAAGAGGTACGGTTCTTAGTACCCTGTCAAAGGCGTCGGAAGCAAATTGAAAGTGGGGGCTGATTTAAAGTGGGGATGGAATCTACCATTTTATTTCACAATGAAATGAAAATATATGGAATCACTGTCTAGTTAGGAGAGTATGCCAGAAACATCAACAATAGTGGGAAACATGGAATAATTTTAGCATAACGGGCAAAGGCCGTTATGCAAATTTTCCCATGTTTCCCACTATTGTTGATGCCCTGGCATACTCTCCTAACTAGACAGTGATTCCTTAAACATCCACACAAGAGATAACGTTGATGATTCCTGATGGTTATTTAAATATGAGATGCAATCTTAAACAGCAATTTCGATTAATACCATTAAATACACCATAAGTATATATTCTTTTGCTTGATTTGAGCAATAATCAGATTAGCCAGTTTCAAAATGATGTTTTACCTAAATTTCAATATTTTAAAAACAACAATATTTTAAGTCTTTATGATATTTATGGGTACCACTACCTTGAATTATTAGATTTATCTAACAATCAAATAACTACTATCAAAAGGTCTGATTTCGTAGTAAGACAATTTCTGAAGTATATTAACCTTCGAAGCAATAATATCACAAATATTCATACTGAAGCATTTTCATCGAGAACGCCATTCTTATATTTTCTCGATCTTTCAAATAATTCTTTAAATATTATTCAAGAAACACATTTTTCAGACTTAGAAAATCTTAATTTTTTTTCTATTGAATTGTAACAAAATAGACTTTCTTCATAACGAAACATTTTCGAATTTGTTGAAATTAAATATACTTAACTTATTCTACAGTTATATCACTGTTCTGTCCGAAGGTCTGTTTTTGAATTTAAGACGGCTACAGAATTTATATCTTCAAAATCGAAGCCTTATCAAAGAATATTTTTCGAAATTTACAAATTTTACAAAATTAAACCTTTCAAATAACAATATTTCTTTTTTTTGAAAGACCTATTTCTGAATTTGCAAGAGCTACGTTTCTTGCACATACAACATAATAAGATTTTAAGTGAAGAGGACATGATTCTAGGGCTTTTTAACTTAAGATATTTACACGTTGATTCCTTTTCAATATGTTGTGCAAAACCTTTGAGTATGTTTGAGATAAAATGCATTGCTCCTATAAATGAACTTTCTTCTTGCGAACAATTTATAAGTGTTTTCCCTAAACATCTGCATATGGTATGTTGCATTATTAGCAGCTTTTGGGAACATAATTGCTTTTATATGTAACTGTATTGCATTGAAAAACAGGTTCTCTCCATATTTCATATTTACTTGTTACCTAAATTTTGCGGATTTACTCATGGGAATCTACTTGTATATTATAGCGTTTGTCAATATGGTTTTCAGCGGCAGATAAGGGTCTGAGGACATTAGCTGGCGTTATAGCAAACTTTGCACTTCAGCAGGAGTTTTAGCTACAATGTCAAGCGAAGCATCTGCTTTATTTGTAATGTTGATAACCATTGATAGAATTCTTGCTATTTCAGCGCCCCTTTTCGAATCGTCACTTCTTAATTACAAGAGCTATTTTATTGTCGGCCTTAGTATGGACAGTTTCTTTTGTTTTGCCATTTTTTCCTATATTTTTACCATTGAAAGATTTTTATTCTCAAACTGCTATTTGTATATACCTTTCTTTGTCCGTCGATAGACAACCTGGCTGGGAGTATTCCATGGCTGTATTTATTGGATTTAACTTCATTCTTTTTCTTGGAATACTTGTTGGACAGATTTTAATTCTTGTTGAGGTTATCAAGTCTGGAAAGAAAATTAAATCTACAGCCACTAAAAGACGGGAAATATCATTAGCGAAGTCAGTTGGTGCTGTTGTTTTGACAGACCTCATGTGCTGGATACCTATTGGATTAATAGGTATGTTTCAGCAGGCATTTTTATACATGTATTATAGGTTGTAATCAAGAGTCTCATAAAACATTCATATGCAAAATATATCAAGGATACCAAATTTGCAAAATAAGTAAGTAATCAAAGATAATGTCACCTGGTTTTAAGATGGCTGGGTGGTCGTGGCCATTTTCGGATTACTGTATAATGATCTCCTTAAGAAGGAGAGCTCCATATGAATAAACACAAAAATGGTGAACATTTCATACTAAAAATTTTTCGTATAAAAAATGTTCTTAGTTAAATAATACTAGCACTTTTGAGCTAAAGATATCAAATCTTAAAAAAATAAGTTATATCTGATGGTTAATTTGCTGACACCCAGCCTTGTTCTCCTTGTGTTTTAAAAAAATAGAGCATTGCACCAATACAATCTGTTTTTATGGCCATTGCTAATCTCAGATTAATTGTCATCTTATGCTTTCTTTTGAATGTATAATTCAGCTATGATGACATTCTCAGGAGTTGACGTTTCTCAGGAAGTCTACATTTGGAAAACAGTGCTTGTTTTATCGATAAATTCTGCTCTGAATCCAATTCTGTACACTTTGTCAGCTCTCATAAGAGAAAGGAAAAGACGAAAACAGGTATGGAGTTTATAACATTTATGACACTTTAAATTGAGAGAGAGAGAGAGAGAGAGAGAGAGAGAGAGAGAGAGAGAGAGAGAGAGTAATTAATTACTAAAAGTTAAAAAATACCTTTGCTAGAAATTGATTTTTTTAAATTAAATAAAAAGCATAATAAACTACATATATATCACAACTAAAGATATATATTTTAAATTCATTTTGGATTAAAAAAAAATATATATTTTTCAGACTCCACAACGCGCAGATATGTCGTGATACAGTTTAGTGTATTGCAATATATATTAGAATGGATAAAAGAAAGTGAAATACATAACAGCACTGATATAAAGTAAATACAAAAAACGTGTCATTGGTACTTAAAAAGTTGAAATTTATATTGTAATTTGCATATCGTACTTGAAATTTATGTAAATTATGTTTTATGTTTTGCTGTTATTTAATTTTATTTTTAATTTAACCAGTAAGATAATTGTTGATTAAATCTGTTCCATAGTTTTTAGTTTGGTGTTCTTTCTGAAGTGAGAGGTATAACAAATAATGATAGACTGGAATTCTATCAAAATATAATTTGTTGGATCTGAAGGTCATATTGTTGCCCTTGGCCTGCGGATGATGGAACTTTAATACATAGGGCTTTTGCCTCTCGGCTCTTGAGTGGATTTTGAATAGCAACCTATACGTGACATGATGACATAGTTATTAAATCTAATAACGACGTTCTATATATATTCAAGTTTATTTGAAATCTGTAGTACTGAACAATCGCAATGTCATTTGTTTTATTATTGTCGTTTATTAAGGTTATGTTTTCAGTTTTTTTTCTTACTGTAAATCACCTCTGGCTTTTAATTCAATACTGTACTTTCGTAACATCCACTAATTCATATCATAATAATAAATCGAAATACCGTCTAATTGAGTAGATTTGAAATGTACAAGGCCCAAATGACGTCAAATTTTACTATAAAAAAATAGTCCCAAAAAACACAAAATACATTAATGGATTATTTAGTTACCGTAGTCAAATATCAACATTTATAAAATAAACAACAAAAGGATTTTAAATTATGATCAAAGTAATCTTGTTAACTTTAATTATATATGTAACCTAGATTTAGGTTGTCGGAAGCACGAACATATATAGGCACTATGTAACTTCTCTGCCGCCATATTGAATGCAATGTTGCAGTTGATGAAACGGGAGTTGGTCAGCATGGTCAGGAAACCGATTTGTACGGATGTTGAAATAACATAAGAAGTTGAGTTGCTTAAGAAGTCGGATGGTATTGACTGATGGACGATGTCTGTATTAGATGACGGAGTACATGCAGATCCATGTGGCAATGTCAATTTCTCCACGTGGCTATTACGGAAGTGGAGTTCTAGGTCTCGCGAGGCATCGGTGATAGTGGACAGCGTTGCGCTAGTGACTTGCTTTCGAGTCGAAGATAATTAATTATTTATTTTGTTTGTTAAAAAGATATATCATATCAAATTACTTAGTAAACAATTAAACAAAACATCTATTTTTTCTTTAGTATATTTATACGCCAGTGATATACATGCAGGTTGACACCTGACCTTTCCGTAATAGAGAAATATACATACCACAGGGTATTACCATGAATTTAACAAGAATCACTTTGGAAGTGTTTATCATAGAGAAAAAAATTTGAAATGGAAATATTTGAAAATCATTTTCGTGTATACTCACGCGTAGAAATATACACGGAGAAACGTGCGTTACCGTGACATCTCAATAGGGCTACAGAGACGATAGCAAAAGTATAACAATATAGGGCAGCGAGAAATTCGAATATTGAGCATATTTTCGGTGCTTTCAAACATGTAAAATGTAAATATAAGGAATGTTTTTAAGTTTAGTGTGAATTATTGGTGTGAGAATCACACAGTCTTGCACGTAGGCATATTTTTCATGAAGCACTAGCGCGCTTCATGAAATATGCCTCTGTGACAAGTCTGTATAATTCACACACCAGTAACTCACACAAAACTTAAAAACATTCCTTAATTATTTCTTGATATTATACTTTTATGTAAATTACTTCAATCTGATTCGTCGAGAAATATTTGATAAAAAACACTACTGCCCGCTAAATAATGAAGCCACGCCCTCCTGCGTAGCAACAGTCAACATTGCTTGACGACGGGTGGTATTCCAAAAAATAGCGACTGCGCGGAATTTATGCGCACACGGTTCACTGTAATATGTATTTGTATAAAACATTCAGTATAATATAATAGATATTGCATGTAGTTGAGTGTAACATTGAAAATTTTCACCCCTCGAAAACCATTGTCAACCTCGGCTGCGCCTCGGTTGACAATGGTTTTCTTGGGGTGAAAATTTTCAATGTTACACTCAACTACATGCAATATTTATATATTGTTGGAGGATATATAGCAGGAAATTCTGCTAATCAGCACAATTATCAAATTTAATATCTAGCAACCGTTATCTTACATAATTTACTCAGAGAATATTTTCACTAATGATAATCTAGAAATATGCTGTATATGTCTCAATCTATGTTTTACAAATTTTACGCCTTTCCAAATTAAACTTTGCCGGGGAACGAAGATATATTACAGGAGTCAATATAAATTTTACACCGTTTTTTAAAATTGCTTATTTTGACCAATATTACAAAATTTACCTCACTGACCCCAACCTTTCCTTTCATTATTTTAAGTTAGTCCAATCCTCAGGTTTATAAAATTAGCAATTAATAAGTAATCAAAAAAACACATAAAAGTGTCTCTGAATCCACAAAGTTATGTAAATTTATCCACAGTATTTCTATAGAGTTAAAGGTTAAAGTTAATCATATTATATAGGGAAAATGGACAAATCTACAATATATTTGCAGAAAAAGCGAACTGGAATTTCAGCAATGTATTCACTAATTGCAAATTGACCAACAAATAAATTTTAGGTTAAAAAACGATAGGAATACAGGCATGCAGAGAAATTGTCCTTATTTATATACTTATTTGGTATTTATTGTCCTCTATTTCCGTCACGTTTTCTGTAATAAATAGCGTAAAAGGCTTTTGCTATAATTGCAAGACACCACAAATCACTTCCTATTTCATATCATGCTAATAAGCATTGGTATCTAAGGCTGGATTCAAGAAAATCTTATTTCTCTAAAACTGTTTTATCCCCCACCCCTCATTATAGGTTACAAATGTAAACTTTTATAAGACCTTTTCAAAGACTCCCTAAAACCTTGAATCTTATAAAGATGAATAAAATGAAAATTGTTGCATGAAAAAATTAAAATTTCAACTTTCATTTTGATGCATTTCAAATTAAATACTAATTTTTGGAGTTTTCCTTCTTGGCTGAGGATCGGATATACTAAAACTACTCGATATTTGTGACTGATCAGCTTTTAAGTAATAAAAAGTTTGATACGTATGGAATGACTCTAATCTTCGGCCAAAATATCGAATATAATCTGGTTTGGGTCAGTTTACGCTCTATAAACCGCAAAGTTAGAAACTAGAAGCATAAAACTTTTATATATTTTGACATATTCAAAATTCTGGGGGAAAGTAAATTACTCTTCAAAGATTTTTTTCTTATTCTTTTAGTCATTATTATCATTAAGTTTTCTATAAAAAACATATGAAAAGGATATCGATACTGTGTAATTTGATATTGGCTTTCCCTTAACGAAATGAAAAGGAGTATATATATATACACACTAGTGAAGGAACACAATTTCAAATAGTTTAGTAAAGCCAAAATCAATCAGTTAAGGATATTCTAATTACATGTCTCTCATACCTTTTTTTAGTTCTTCTAGTCAGAGACTAGAGGCGTCCGTCCATCTGTCTGTCGATCTGTCTGTTTGTCTGTCTGTAAACAATTTTGAAAATGCTACTTCTCCTACAGTTTTGGTCTGATTTCAATATAACTTGACACACAATTAGACTACACTAAGATACATACTTCAGTATATTGGGTTTTGAAATCAAATAACGTTGTTGCCGTGGTTACTAAAAATAGAAATTTCTGTAAAATTATTGCATAATGCTACTCCTCTTACAGGTTCGGTCTGATTTCAATTTAACTTTGCACACAAGTAGACTACGCTAAGGTGCAGAATTCTGTGTATCGTTGTTTGATTTTGATGAACGGTGTTGCCATGGTTACTAAATATAGAATTGTCGGTAAAATTCTTTCAAAATGCTAGGTCTCCTACAGTTTTGGTCTGATTTCAATATACCTTGGCACACATGTACACTGCACTAAGATACATAATTATATTTATCGATTTTTGATTTCGATGAACGGAGTTGCCATGGTTACGGTAAAGAATATAAAGAGCAAGAACCATCTTATGCAAAAAATGGCCCTGTACTTATATCAATTAATTAACTATCATCCTCTTTCCAATTTCATTTGTCAAATTAAAATAGACACTTTGTGCTTTTATTTTCTATAATAAAATTTCGTTTTTGAGAATAAAGATATTGGAAAACAGGTTTGAGAAATTGCAATATTCTTGAAATTTGCAGAAAACATGCGTATTTGACTACCTTTAGCAAGGAAT